GCGAAAAAATTGATTTATAATAGTGAACCACCCAAGGATGTTGCCAGTCTTCTTGGGGAACTCAGATTTTCTTTGTCCACGGATTGTCACCAATGTTTTAACTAAATTCGTCCATAAATTTTCCTAAGACCGGATAAAAATGCCACAGAGAAAATCGTGGAACACTATGGACCGCCAGGGCGTATCGAGAACTGCCAGTGTGACGGCCCTCGTTATCAAGACATCTGCTCATTTAACACAACGAAGTTTGGAGAAGAGCTGCTGTCATGTGACGTCAAGGTTTGTGGCTGGTCAGCGGTAAAGATAGCGTCTGTTGATCCAGAAACAGGAAAAGCTGTCGACAACTGGAAAACTTTGCCAAAGGAAACAATTACTGCTTTAGTGCGAGAGGCCGTGAAAATAAACCTAGAAAGAGGATTAAGTTTCCTGTTCCTGAAATGTGGGAGTATTTTTCAAGTGCTGAGTTTTCCTCCCGTCTTCAAGAAAGATGAAATTGGTGAAAACATCGGTCATATTAATGTAAATATAATTGTGCTAGACTCTATTTCAAGACCACACTTCTATCGAACTCTTCCTAGAGCTTCACAGGCTCTACGCAAGATAAACCAGGATTCTAGCATCAAAGCTACAGCCTTGGACTTTGAACTTGTTCAGAGCATCGGCCAACAGACGTTTGAAAACTTGAGACCATTTTTCTGTGGTGTCCTTAAAGGTGAAGTAAAAAGCAATTTCCAATTGAGTATCGAAATCATTGTAGTACCGCACTGTTTTACCTCTCTACGGTCTAAAATTGGTCATGAAAAGTCGTGCCTCTCTCTCAACCAATCAAATGCCAAACTAAGACCAATCGTGGTTTGGTAGGCAATCTGCGTTTTCTCGCACCTCGGGTTGTTCGCTTGTTTTTTTCTTAGAGATCCCACTGGCTCTTTATAATGTTTTACTTTTTTCTGATTGGCAGTCGTAAGCACGACATGGCTTGATCGAGAAGCACTTTAAAAGCAACGATTTCTTGCGCGTTTTGTTCTATTCATGAAAGCGAAGTGCGTGTTTCACCGAATCAACAGGAGGGATTCGCAATAGTTTTTTAAGCCTCTCAGCCGGTAGAGACGAGCGAAAGAGCGGGCGAGCTTAAAACAGGGTTGTGGTTATCAGGGAAATGGTCGCAAAACGAGCTAGAGGTTCTCTCTGCTCTCATTTTTTATTCTTTGTCTGATCCCTACCGTTTTTACACAAGCACTATTTCGTTTATTTTCATCAACTCAGAGCCTAATACAGGCTACCTTCCCAACGCTGAAAGGGTGGCGGTGTTTCTACCGTCATTGTGTCGATATGAATAACTATTTAGAAGCCCCTGTGATGTCGTTCATAGATGAAGGATCTATTTGTAGAAAATTTTTATCATTTGTTAGATGACAATGAGGTCAATGCCTCCGGAGAGAATACAAAGGCTCCCCTGGGCGTAGAGGTGTTGTTTGGGGCCTTCAAAAAGTGGGGCTACCAGACGTTCTTTCAAGAAGACCTTTGTTGGTACGATATTTGGGGCTGTATGTTATCAGATATTGAAAAAAGAGCACGTCCTGAACAAGACTCTGAATTCAAAGAAAGGTAAGTGGTGTAATAACATTAATGAAAATAATAATAATAATAATAATAATAATAACGATAATGATGTTAACAATAATAGTATTAGTAATAATGATTATAATGATAATGATTTTAATGTAGAGGAGAATAGAAGAGGTTGACAAGTATAAGAGTCCTGTATCTTCACACAAAACCACAAAACGCGTCAGTTTTGTCAGTACGTTGAAATGATATCTGGTAGATCTACATTGGTACGATTAATGACAATCTGTCGTTTTATTAACAGGTGGAGAGAATTTCAACAAAAAGTGATTGAAAAACGTGTCGATCATCAAGGTATCACACATTTTTCCTGCACCGCCCTAGACAGAATTGGCTTGACTAATCATTACGGTTATCGTGAGAAACTTTGCATCAATGGGATGTTTTACGGTTAGTATTTCTTTGAATATATAACAAAGGTTTATACTTATCGTATATGTGCACGATCCTTCGCAGTAAAGCACTATTTAAGCAATAGTGACTATTGCTTAAATAGTGCTTTACTGCGAAGGATCGTGCACATATACGTTTCATAACCGCAGTTCATATATATGTATTTCATATATATTTGTTGCTTAAAGGTTTATACTGCCTTAAAAAACAACATCCAAGCTAAGCCACTGTGTCATACATGCATTTCAACACTGGGCACGAAACGACTGGGAAACGAATGATCAACATGGACGCCATTATGGCGAAGTTCATTTCAGATATTGCTTCGTTTACCAACACCCTGACAGTGATCTTCTCCGACCATGGCCACACAATGACTCCGTTTAGCTATACTGAAGAAGGAAGGAGAGAGTTATTTGACCCAATGTTCTTCATGATCGTTCCTGATGGCGTCAAGGAGAAAGTGGGGGCTGTAAGGATGGGCGCCTTGATAACGAACCAAAAGCGCCTCTTTATGCTCTATGACGTTCACAAAGCGTTCATGAGTTTGAACGATCCGCAGAAAATAAATTCCAAGGATCATAAAGTAACAGGAATATTTTCGGAGATCCCTGCAAACCGCACATGCGCAGACTTGTACATGCTTCCCTTAACTAGATGCAAGTGTGAGGGCTTTGACGAAGAAATTCCAGTAAAAGATAATGCAGATGACCACACGTGGTTGGCAGAATTTGCTGTTGGGTATATAAATGATGCCATACAAAAACAATACATGAGCGGTGAGATAGCCTGAGATGTCCACTGTTTGTTGATGTGTTCTGTTATTATGTTTTAACCACTCTGCAATGCAGGAGATTTGGAAATCCACAATAACGAATTCAGTTCATTCACAATCCATTTTGAAAGGAAAGGATATTGTCGTCTCTTTAGACAGACACACGATGTGACAAGGTTAAAGGGTGTGAGATGAGACGGCTTGGGGTGGGGTGGGGAGAATTATGATAGGAAGGGTGGGAGAGGTGAAATGGAGCTAGATGAGTCAATTTGATCTAAGGCCAATGGGGTGTGTCAGTGGTGGATCTAGGGGAGGGGCTCGGGGGGCCACCCCCCCTATTTTGGGTGAAAAAAAAAACCGCAGAAGGAAGAAAAGCCGGCAGTTGCACACACACGCAAAAACTGCCCCCCCCCCTTTGCTCAAGGTCTAGATCCGTTACTGTGTATAGAGGTGAGATTGGTGGAGTGCGTTGGGGTGAGATATGGGCAGGTCGGTGAGGTGAGGGGGATGGAGAGTTTAGGCAACACGAGAGAAGTTTGAGGGAAAGAGTGCAGTGACAGGAAAATTTGTAAGATCAAAAAGTATTTAAACCTGCTTTAATTTAAATTGATTTTTTAATTGACTTTTTCCTCATCAGGAAACAGTGGCTCTCCTAAAAAATATGGCTACGGCAGCTGCAAGCGTTTGGTTGGAAAATAATTCCAAAAGATTGTCAAGCGATTTCGAGGGGAATATATTTTGACGACTATGGACATTTACGTGGCTCCTCCTGCTGGATATACTGAGGACGAAGTGTATAAAGTGTCTGTAAAACAGTATGCCATACCTCAACATGGAGTATTTTTCCTCAGTTCTGTACGGCAAACGTTGTATAACAAATTTGCCTCATGTGCAGATGATTCAGTGGATATCAAGCTCTGTGCATGCGCGAAGAAGCAGGCCGCTGACATCATCGACGAAGAAGCGTTGTTTGACGATGGTGTTCCGCGAAAAATGTTTGGTTCGGGCACAGTTGTCACGAACTTAAACTCCAAATGTCTTTTATTCCTGCGACGGAATTTTGGAACGTTTTCGTTTGCGTTAGAAGTAGCAAATGTTTGTAAAACTCGGACTTATAAATTTAAACTAACAGGCACTATGGATCAAAGGCTATTTTCTAATACTGTGCCGATAACTCGGGAGTTATCCCCGAGAACGTTTTACTTTTTGACCTCTGTTTATAAGTACATCTCGAAAGTAAATACAGCGTTAGATTTGGCAGCAAAAGTACACATACAGGAAGAGGGATCAGACACGTTTAACTTTCTAGGGAACTTCACGGTCTCGTGACCGCTTTCGCGGTGATAATAGTAATAATAATAATAATAATAATAATAATAATAACACGACGACGCAGCACTGAAGGTACTGTTTTACCAA